ACACACACACACGCACACACACACACACACGCACACACACACACACACGCACACACACACACACACAGCCTCTTCCCAGTATGCGTTTTTGCAATTTACATATATGCAAAGCGTAGCTCTTACATATCCGGTTCAAGTGGTGTGTGCCAGCGAATTTTCCGTACAGTTGTGGTAATCAAGGCAATCTTTTTTCAGAAAAAGCAAAAAATAAAACTTCCCGAATGTTTGCTAATCAAAATGCAACCAATAGAATCGTACTTACCCAGAAAACTGTCACCAGACATATTCAAGCTATAACTGTTAACGAAGAGGGAGATGGCGTACAGAGAGCTGACGTTAATGCGAGTATCTGGGCAGACAGCAAATCCTGTGCCAGTGTTCTTGCAGAAGCTCAGTGCCGAGCTAGGTATTTCCACCTAAACAACACTGTGGATAGGCATTTACAATTTAAAATTCCGAGTACCGGAAATCAGTCAACAAACGAAAATTGAAAGTTTCTCGTCACTTATCGAAGAACTTAGAAAAATCCATATAAACCGCTGGAACAATTTTGTATCAAAAACTAAAAAGGAACAATTTTAAAAAGGAACAATTAAGCTATTCACTGATGTCAATTATACGGAAACGAAAAGCTGCCAGAATGCTCAGAAACGACTGATACAGTTCTCTGGCTAGTGACTGAATTTACTAAACAAAACAGCACCGTAGAAAAAGTGCTACTTTACTTTCGGACAATTGCGTTAATAATTTACTTTAATTTACTCTGCCTTGTTTTCGATTCAGCTTCGCGCTTTCAGTTCATACTGTTTTTTAATCGTCGAAAATATTTGTCTTTATTTCGAGAAGCGGGACGATTTTCTTATTCACCTCGAAACTTTGCATTCACAGTGCCTCTGGCAATTTTTTTTGTTCTTTTGAACAAAACAGGCGACCGCTTTTTCAACTCGTTTTGTCTTTTAAAAGGATCAATGATTCTCTCGACAGAAACATTGGCGAGACTTTAATTACCTTGAGATATTCTCACTGTGTACTGAGCAGCTAATACTTCGACTCTCGAAGATTATCACTTCTAGATTTGCCACCTTATCGACTAACAGAATTTTCTCTTACGACTGAAAAATCATTTTTCCGTCATGGAAATCCATTTTATCTACACCAACAACTGAAGGAAATGACCTCCCGCTGGATTCGGTTTCTTTTTTTTATACGACAAAGCACAAGACAAGACATACAGAAAGGAGTAACATACCGTTCGTGAGGAAAGCGGAGTCAGATACAGTACAGTGCGATGAGTTTCCTTGCCATCCAAGTAGCGTATAGTAACATTGTTCCACAAATCTCCTGGATTGATTATTGTAATGGAAGCACTCTGCTCAGCTGTCTCTCTTTCGCTGCTGAACGGAATGACGAAACTGAACTCAGTACCGAACGTCTCCGCACTGACCAGCTCGCTGGGAAGCGACGGTGTAGAAGCTGAAAACACATTTTTATGCGTTTTTGCTTATTTGCAAATCGAAAAAACGCATGTTGCAACGACCCTGTCTGTGTGTATGAGTATGTTTGTGTGTGTGTGTGTGTGTGTTCGCCTGTCCGGGTATTTCAATTCGGTAACCAAGTAAGTTCCGACGCCAAAATTCTGCTAGTGGGTTCTCTGGCCATGTGTCACCCCAGAACCGGGTACAAACCCTTAAGCAAGTCCGGGCCCCGCGTACGACAAGATGAAAGTTTTGGCGGGAAAATTGCTAAATCAGGAACGGGAAAAGCTAGAGAGCTGAAAATTTGAGATTATGTTCCTCGTCCAAATAAAACTCAAAGATTTCAAATCCAGCCCCCGGGTGCGCACGGTTCCCACGTACATTCACGCGAGGATCCACGACGCGAAAATTGTAAACTTGCGAGCCAGGGAGGCCGGGGTCTGAAGACGACGGGAGGGCGGCGGGGATTGGGGAAAAGCCCCTCCTACCTTGGAACTACGCAAAAACTAGGAATAGAGTTGTAACATTGCTACTTACTATTTAGTTACTTAGCTTAATTTATGAACAGACCCAGGCTTAGCAGCACTGGCGCCTGTGATGTCGAGGGAGAAGGAGGAGGAGGGGAGGGGCGAAAGGCTACCGTGCTACACCGGCCTAAAATTCTTTCACAAATTTCGGATACTGTGCTCCAGCAAGTTATTGAATACTGTATTCCCACTTCTCCACGCCTCCTAAAGGCCTCTGATTGCTCGATAACCAAAAAATTTCACTAACACTGTGGACTGGGAGTTGTTGTTCGTGGCACTGGCATCGGCTGCCATTTTTGACCTGAAATAATTTCGGTTACGGACCCATTCTTGGGAAATTGAAACGACCCATGCATGATGAGTAAACCAAAAGCTTGCTTAATCGAAATAGATCTTTCCCACCACGAAAGTATTATAACTTTCAGCAGCTACGAGTTTGCTCAGCTCCAAATTCCCAAAATGACTTCGACAAACAGCACTTGAAATCCTGAATTCAGTTAGGAAAGAAAGTTTATTAAGGTGTGGGAAATGCGAAGCTCCAATTTCCAGTCCGCGCAATCAATGAAGAGATGAGAATTTAAGTTGGCGCAATGGACAAGTCAGCAGTAGAAATTGTTGCACTCTAACATTCATTTCATGTTCGTCGTATTATATCTTTCAAAATAAGGTCAGTGAAAGATGATTTGAATTTAAAAAAAAATTTGAAATGATATTTTCCAAAAATGAGCGTTCAGAGCTCGGTCTGGGTTTGCGGCCGAGAAATGCAATACATATTGTTTCTTGAAGGCAGGCACAGGAATAATAAATCATACAATGAATGAGCATATGATAACGTACTCCCAAGCCTGCTTTCTAATATTTCAAGCTCTGCGCAGTATTTCTGAACAGACGGGAATGAAAAGAAAAGGGGAGGGGAGGCGGACCATGCCACTGGTTCCTGATTATTGTTTTGCACCTTAGTTTACTCCTTCGACGCAATGAGTCAAAAAGTGACACTGCTTCAAAATTATGCGCAGGCTAGACAGTAAAAAAGAGGAGTTTCCAGCCCCAATTTTTGGCAGCATAGACGCAAGTAGCGTGTAACCGATGCAGGTGAAGTAAAATGCGTATTGCAATCGTGCGTAAGCTTCCCTACCTATCAAAAGAAGTTCCGAAAAGAAAGAGAAACGCACTGTTGTATGTAGGCACAAAACTGTATGCAACACCATCGATGGTGCCGGTAACGAACACGATATAATCGCCTTCTGAATATAAGTTATGATAGCCGGATGGTACAGACGACGCTGCATAGTACATTACTTCGTCCAGATACGATATAGGTGCCCATACAATTTCGTAGAAGTTATCGAACACAGCTGTGTCCTTCGTCTTCTCGTCACCAATTATCTAAAAGCATTAAATAGCAGCAAGGAAATGGGATAACCAATTTCGTACAGCTCGTAAACCACTTGCTTATTCGGCGCTAACAAACGTCAGGGAATCAAAGCCGTCAACAGTTCGTTTCTAAACACTTCGATGAAAACGTCGACAGTTGTGTTAGCGTAGTTTTGATCAGCTGCGGTTAGTTTTGGCATAAGATACTAGTCGGAGCACTTTTGAATATTTCCAGCTTATCGTAAAAGATGAATGCTTTGAGCTAATGGCCAGCCACAGTTAAAACAGACAGCATTTAGGATGGGCAAGATAATTTTCACGCACACTCTGGAAATACTAGGCTCGTATTCATGCTCCATTTTATCACTCTATTTCAAGACTGTAGAAGGCTCAGGATCGATCGGAAGGAGAAAGAATATTATAATTTCTTGCGAATTGCAGTCTCTTCGCAAGTCATCACTTCATTCATTAGCAGCAAGAATACTTTTATGAAACAGTGATTGATTTGCTAGATAAGTGATGTAAATCTTGAGGAGGAGAAATATTGGCATTACACAAAATTTTCTGTTTTTTAATTCTAACAAGTAAAATTCAGAGTGACCCTACAATCTCAAACTCTTCAGTCGGAAAAAACAGTAGTCACCGTAATCAAATTGCTGTCTGATAACACTGAGAATGCTGTGCCTGCAGTGACGAACTGTGTCCGTGAAGGGAGCATGTCCAGAAATGCGCCAGATATATATCCGCCAGTTTGCCTCTCATAGCCACCGTAACGCAGCATTTGCAGAAGCCCGCGCCTGAAACACAGAGATAAAGTTACCATTTCTGTGGAACGAAATTTCTCTCATTACTACTCTACTTTCTCCTATAACTCATCCAGAAATTATGTAAATCATCGAAGAAGCTTGCTAACGTTTCTTTTGACAGCTGCGTCACGTAAGCAATGACTCTGCCGTCAAATAAATAGACAGACGTGTAAGGGATGGGGGAATTTTCCAAAACAGACGACCTAAACAAAGTGGTGGTTTGTTACGCAGTCAGTTTTGAAAACATCAGTGCACTCATTCTTTCTGTGGGATACCAGAGACAGGTGGGATGAGAGAAAGAGAGGGGAGGGGGAGGTACGACCACTCTGATGCACTGGTATCAGGGACATATCATCACTTTACAACACTAAAAGTACTTGGGTCTTTTCCACCAACAAAGTCTCTATTTCCCGAAAAAGGTAAATTACGATATTTCAAAAGAAAGGCTTATTAACAAAGGAGAAGGATGCCTCCGCAAAGTGGTGCCGAAGAAAACATACGTCGACAGGAAAGCAGCATTGTTGCCATGTATGGACCATAGATCGATGATGTTTTCTG